AAGACCGAGAAGCCCAAGCGACGTGTGTTGCCAATAACGATATCTATTTACCTTATCCTCATAGTGCATGTTCACAGGTATTGGCATGTCGAACAGGACTGTTAAGCCTTTGATTGGGATTCGAGGAACGGTCACTGCAAACCTTCAGTGTTATTGTACCGTGTGAGACGCCATTAACACCATAGTTAATAGTCAAGAGGCCATTTCGAAGCTATCAGGCTGGTTTCGGTTGCGTGCTCTAGAGAGTCGGGCTATTTATGGATCCCAAATGGAAAGTGATCTTCAGGTGGACATTGATTGCTGGCTACTGATGTATTAAGAGCCTTTCCAATTAGAAGAGTCGGGTGGTAGAGTTCAGATGAAGATTAAAGTCGAAAATATTCCAGTAAATATTACAAATTGGAATGGAAGCGAGGCCATTTCTGGAATTTAGGTTGTCATTAAGTTCACATGGACGGACCGCACAGCTCAAATTCATATAATCGTTGGTATTATTAATAAATCTATTACGCCATCATCTCCTTATTAACGGTGGAATAATGAAATGAAAAAATATGCCTACTTCCATCAATGAATGTAAGAAAAACATCTCAATTGACTAAGTTTCTATGGAAACAAACAGAATAACTCATTCGGAGACTCGAGACTGAGTTATTTACTAGCAGTGATACTCGTAATCTGCTACTTCTTACTTATAAACATGAGCTGCATGCATACAACGCGCCTGAATCATGTGCATGTACATGCTTAAATGCGAACACAAGCAGGCCATCCATCATGAGCAACATCCACGATCACCATCCAACATGCGTGCAAAATCAACCCAACCTAACTCCAGCTCTCGTATATAGTTTAATAAAAATTTCTCCCTCCGAATGATGCATCGTGGTAATTTATTTTTGGCATAAATTCCATGAAAACCAGCAGACGTGCACACTGCCCAACACTTGCCATTACGACCTGATGATTCCTCGCTCTGGGAAAGCGTCCTAGAAAGTTTCACCAGCCACACTGTCTGCAGGGATCAAACTTTGTTTTGTTACCCCAAACATTCCTGCCATTGGGTTCTGGAACTGTAATGAATATTAATGCCGCTCCTGTTATAATAAATTGTATCTTTAGCAGAAATAAATACGGTGCTGCAGCTAAGACGTTGGCAAGAGGTCGCATCTCGCACTTTAAATGTAATTTATATGTGTAAAGATTATGCATTTAATAATTGAGATCCTCATCATACTAGTTCAACATACAAGTGAGGCGCTCATGAAACCAACCGAACATGTTTACGATGTGCAGGATCGACATTTAACATTGCAAGCAGTAAAATTGGATTGTAATTATTATAATTGATATAGTAATACCTGATTTCATAGCGATTCTGCTCGTCTCAATTTTTTTAAAATGCAAATATTATTAACCAATGAATTATGTTAAGTTAAGAGTTGTAATTTGAGTTATTTTAAAATAACAATCCGTTCGTTTCATTTGACTGCTATTACTACGAGGAAAGGTCGATTACAAACAACACAAAATCAACAAAAATTACAAAAAAACTCACACAAAGCGAAAAATGTACAAAAAGTGTCTCCTATTTAGACATGAGACGGCGCTCCACTTGGAATGTTTTTCAGTTCCGTTCACTGACAATACGAACAATCGAGTCCCCGGCTCCGTTCGTGAACCACGCAAAAAAGGACAAACACTGACAGAGCGCCAGCACTGGAAAAAATGTGACAAAATCGCAGCGTGAAACAAAGAGCAGAATGAGTTTCCGAGTGTCATGCAGGTCTTATATAGACGCACCAACGTAGCGTGGATCTCAGCTTCTCAATTTAGGTGCGTCAAGAACATAGCCTTTTATATTCTTCGTCTTTGCTCTGGAAAAAATGTAGCAGGATCTGGAAAACATCTCGGTGTTTTCTAGGACTCTGAAATCACAGTCCCGGCGGCTGCTTCTAATAAACAGGCACTCTGTAAAAATAAGAATTTTCCCACTTTTTCCACGGTGAGGCCGTGGAAATACATTCTCTGCATGTATTTATTTGAAATAAATTCTCTGCCAAATGCAATAAGTGGAAACAAATTATTTTATATACATTATATATTATTCCGACTGATAAAATTTCAACAGTTTCTTTAGTTAACATTAGAGCAAAAAATTATTCGTGTGAGAACTAAAATAAATGGACGATTATGATGATTATTTTCGAGAAAAGAGATTCATAGCCACTAGATCAATTTAAAGTGAAACTATCCCTAAACTTAAGAAGAGGAACTAGTGTACATAAATAAACAACACCAACTATTTTGTTGTTTAATGTTGATTCGAAGATGTACTGACGTTGTCCTTAACCTTTGAAGCAAGAAATATTTTCAATTGCTATAAAAAGTATTTTAAACTATTTCCATATTGACCATTAGTAACACCGGACTGAGGCGACCAATTGAACTTAAATTAAAAATCTAAGTACTTCATCAATCCACTATGAATATTATGATTCGAATTTGAACATAATTTTTACATATTTTCTGGATGAAAATAGAGGAACTGGTGGTAATTTTTTTACCTAAAATCTTTCTCTGAAAGAAATAACTTCATTATCAGCAGCACCATTCACTATTTTTCAGCAATAAATTTATTATCACGAATTGTTTGCCATTTCTTAATTGAAGTTAGTGCTTAATGTGGCTGCAACGATTGCCTGTTTGTAATTAAACGCTCGCCTGCTATATTATTCTCAAGCTTCGATAGTATAAACAGTTCTCTTGTATCGACAGGTAATGTGTACAGCGCGGATTAGGATAACGCTGACTTCTAGACAATAGAAATTTTTCGCGTAAATTTCAATGGGGGCGAAGATAATTGGGGGCAGCGGCTAATTACCTTTCCCCTGCAACTGTTGTTTAAACTTGCCACCAAAAAGTGGTCTGGGCATGGAAAGTGGTCTGCGGAAACTTAAGTAAATTGGTCTGCCTTGAAGCTCGTGGCGCCCTGACCTCTTAATTAATTTGGGGCTTTCTTTCTGTTTGAGATGCGTGAGCTGATTGGCTGAGAGAAATTGGTCTTCCTTTATAGGAGAATTAGGAAACCCACTGCATTCTGCTTTATTAAAGGCATCTATCGGACGAAACTTGATGATGATTATCTTTAATGAATTACTTTTTATGTGTGTGTGGGTATTGCCGTATTGGAGGTGTCAAATTTGCTTTAACTATTTAAATAAGTACGTAAATGAATGCAGTATAGTTACGTATGTAATCAGTGAAAGGTTTGATAACAAATTATGAACGGATTCTTAAGCTAAATTAAACTCTCAGTAATGATAAGCGTTTAGGTATTGACAACTAATTATGTAGAACCTTACAAATAGAAATGTACAAGACACATTATGACTTAAATTCCGAATATATGCATGGCGTTTTGATCGTAAATTCTATGTAAATATTGTAATTTTTAGGTCTGTGTTTTTTCACAATTTTTTGAGGAAATTTCGAGCCTTACTACCCTAGCAAAATTTGGGGTATGTTTCAGCCTCCGCCCCAGAGTTGCTATGTTTGCGTTAGAGTTATTCTGGGTCAGTTGGCCACTTGGTCGCAATCAGCGACTAGTCAGAACCTCCTTGCCGACTTTATAGTCTCCTGAGAGTAGGGCAAGAGTTGGCAGAATCCCCTCAGTCCCCTCACCAGGCTCTAGTAGCTGCCTGATTCGGGGACCGGAATGTAGACCAAAAAGCGGACATATATATAGAGAAGCTGATTAACGTGCGGTCCGAGTCCTAGGCGGTTCCAAATTCAGGGTCGTCACCTACTCAAAATTTTGATAGGGTAGCAATCTTCATGATATTTTCATGGTTTTGTATATTGCCCAGCGGCTTCGTTATATCTGCCGGCACTCATGCTACAGTGCTGCGCAGGCACCAGCATGCCTCACCGATGCTTTCAAAAATCCTTCATTGTCACATGTCAGTTGGGTACATTTAACCTTACAATGCAGTCTAGTATCAAGATGGTAGATGAAGTTTATTATAATCCTAGTTTATGTTCTCTCTTACTTCGCCACCATAACCTTACATTAAGGAAACAAATATGAATTATCCTCCGGAATGTAGACCAAAAAGCGGACATATATAGAGAAGCTGATTAACGTTCGGTCCGAGTCCTAGGCGGTTCCAAATTCAGGGTCGTCACCTACTCAAAATTTTGATAGGGTAGCAATCTTCATATTTCCATGGTTTTGTATATTGCCCAGCAGTTTTGTTATTTCTGCCGGCACTCATGCTACAGTGCTGCGCAGGCACCAGCAAGCCTCACCGATGCGTTCACAGAATTTATTTTAATAACCCGACTCATTTCGATATTAAGAAAACACCGCGACTTGAACCATGTAGTTCTGTGCAATTATCCTTCATTGTCACATGTCAATTTGGTACATTTAAACTTACAATGCAGTCTACTAGCAAGATGGTAGATGAAGTTTATTATAATCCTAGTTTATGTTCTCTCTTACTTCGCCACCATAACCTTACATTAAGGAAACAAATATGAATTATCCCTATCTCACCTGCTGTTTGGTCACATTCACTTAATTGAGTCTGAACACTGCATAAAAATGAGTCCTTACAATAAAATTTTCTACTCATAAAGAATGAAAAGTGTCTTCGAAATATCAATTGATAATTTTCCCAACATTGAATTGAAGAGAAAGAGAACTATCCTAATTTTCTGCCTGTAACTCACTTCTTTGTTGACAGAGGCAGATATGAACGGAATTGCCGTCACATATCTGTTACATTTGTCGGGAAACAGTCTTTCAAGTGATATTTTGCTCAGTTCAGTATAATGTTAAATTTATATTATAAATGTTAAATTTGAGTATCTTAATTTTCAGAAGAGTCTGTTCCTTAACGATGGAGGTTAAGTTAACCTATACTGACAGGAAATCAACATAAGGTGACCTCAATAAACGATTTAGCTATGGAAAATAATTAATCACTACTCACCTTCCTCATATTTCTTCTCTGCAAATTCCAGTAAATCCAGGCGGTTTCTCTCGTCAGGTTCGTCGTCTAATAATATATCTCGGGGATTTTCTTGCGATTGGGTTATCGCCTTTTCTTTGCGCGTAAATTGCAAGCTTTTTCTGGACAGATTTGGCTGGTCTCTCTCGAGACGATCTTGAGGATCATCATATAGCGGAACACGTGTGTTCTTCTTTGCTGGTTTCTTATAGAAGCTGAGTGACACGTTCCCGTGATGCTGTCCCTCATTCAGGCGATCTCTGTAGTAGTGATCTCGATGCTGGCGATGATTGTGACGATTATTATTTTTATTTACGAGATGATCTTTACGACGCCAATATTGATCAAAGTTTTGACGCTTCCCGTGTTGATTATCAACGTCAGCTGGATGAAGATAAGAGTTTTGCGAAGAACGTCCATGATAATCCTCGTTCATTCCGCGGTCATCTGGACCGTCTTTGGAATTGTACCTGAAGTAATACTGATCGAAAGGGGATCTATTTGCGCTTTTGTTAGGAGCTGTGAGATTTGTGACGTTAATTGCATCGGGCTCAGCTCCTGCGATGTTTTTGACGTCGGTGTAGGGATCGAACGTCTTGATATTTTCCGCTACTGAGTGATGAAGCTGTCGGTTAGTGGTCGTCGTGATGACTGAGGCCAAGATTGCAGTAGTGGGAGAAAATATTGTATAAAATAACAACGGGACCAAAGATGCTGAGAACTTTTTCGCCATGGTGCTCCTGAGATGCGGATCTGAAAAGAAAAGAGTGAGCCTTGAATTACGAGAGAATTAATTTTAAAAACTCTAATGCAATATTTAGTTTCATGTTTTCAGCATGCATGTTTGCAAATTTAATTCTGCCGTCGCAATTGCTAAAAACCTCTTAAACTTACGACAATTATAGAGCCTGACACACAAAATTATTCTCCAAATTGGACGCAAGTCTCTAACTATAAGTTTATTATTTCTGACTGATTAAAGGTCCCAATGTGCTTTTCTATAGGCTTTAAAAAGGACTTTGCAAAAATTTCAAACGTGCACAAATTGCTCAGAAGATAAAATTTCTTGTCATTGTATTAGAGAGGTATAATTTCGGTGGACTTATTAAAAGTTGCTAAAGTTTTAGTAACCCTCGTCCCTGAGCGTTAATAGACGTCGCGAGGTGATTTTGGAGGCGGACAAGAAGCGCAAAGGCTTTAGAACGATTTGGTGTGTTTCCGGTGGCAGAAAGGAGGCTTTGTAGAGATGTGACTCATGGATGGTGACTTCTAAAGCGCTTTGTGATGACGTAGAGCAACTGCTGCCCGACCCCACATGCTGCAGACCACAACTTCTGCTCGACCCACCCGGCTGCAAGGGTCAGGGTTATTTCATAGGCTGCGTGGCCGAGGCTCCGTGCAAATGCCGCGCGATTTACGGCGCGCTCCGCTGAAGCCGCTCCGCCGATTAGGCGCTCTGAGCTCCGTTGGGGAGACGGTCTACTTTTTATTAAGTCATCCCGATATTTATGAGTAATTTTGATGGCCATGTAAGCGTTTCTATCAAGGAATTCAAATTTCATAATTTTTTCGATGGCGGTTTAGTCAACAGCACCTACTTAACCTAGCAAGAAAAATAAATAATAATAATTTTCTTCCCAAGAAAATACTCATCTTTTATAATCTCAATTTCGATTTCTGGGTATATTTTACGCTATAACTTCATATTTTGGGGTTCAAATTTTGGATAATAATTTTGAAGCTCTATGTTTTTCATTGTTTTGTAGAGTAAAAAGTTTCTATTTATAATGTTTGTAAAAATATAAAAGAAAATTGGATATTGGGTCACTATTTTGAGCTCACTCCTGTGGAATTCCCGAATACATTATCGCCTGCCCCCCATTTGTAACCAGCCCCAGTCGATGTATCTGATCATCTTTTCAATACATTTTAAATCTCCTTCACGAGAAAGAAGCTGCCTCTGCTGAGGCCGCAGCTGCCCCCGCCTCCGTAAAATGCAATATTTGCACGAGGTGTCTGAAGTTTTGTTCTAATTTTTGTTTTGTCGGCGAATGTTCCAAGAATCTGACTAACCGACGGAAAGTTGTTGAATTGAAGCTCGCCACTGAAAGCCCGACGAATGGTAACCAACCACCACACTCAGACTTTGAATATGATTTGAATTAAGACCAGTTGTTTCCTTGCCCAGTTACCTCCCCCCCACACTTTCTGGCCTCTTTAAATAGGAGTTGAAGACCTGTTTCCTCACACAGTTACCTTGCACTCATTCGGACTTCTTTTACGTACAATTGATGGTTAATTGCGCAGGGTTAACAGGTAGAACACCTGAGCCTCTAATGGCTCCCATAACTTGGTTACCATGCCTTACGAGCGCACCAAATGGAATTGACGAACTGCAATAAGACGATGCAAAAAGAGATTTATCTGCCCATCTATCTATTGTTGAACGTCTGTTTTATTGTGATGCTAATGATACGGATTCTTGAGAGAAGTTTTTTGTGCATCTTTTCAATAATGGTACATGTAGATTTTTCGAACCGAAGAAAGAAATTTTAAAGGTCATAATTACGTGGCTGAAGTCAAATAGAATATATAGAATATAGAAATTCAAATAGAATATAGACGACAAAATTATTCGATAAACGTAAGTTTCGGCCCGGTTATAAGTTAAAGTTGAGTTCACATCTATGATTAATTTGCAAGCTTAGCGTAAACAATTGATGACTTTTTTAAAAACTTCAAAAACATAATATATGAGTTATAATAACATGACATTTGGTTCGCTAAAGATATTAGATATCTTTAGTACTTGCAAAGAAAATTGACCGATGGAAAGCATTTCTTCCGATGGAAAGCGAAGGAAATTGACTGATCCTTCGAGAATTTCTTCCTGCGCGCTATAGTGTGCGACCTTCTCCAAAATATGAGCGCTCCAGTGCAGTACAGAGAACAAGCTTGGGTCCGTAAATGTCTCACAACACATGTGCCTAAATTAGTAAAAACATTCTAAAGCAATTAGCGCGAGTCAAACAGTGATGATCTCTTGCTTAGAAATAAGTCTCTCCGATGCTCCAGTTATTTGCATCTCGAAGCTTGTGCCGTCCTGTTTTTCTTGATGAATGTCGGTGAATAAGACATGAAGGTGTCATGGCAGGTACTGACAAGTTTAAAAGTGTTAAAAAAGAATTTAATGATGGGAATTAAAATGACGATCATGATATGATGAAGTTTTAATCTTGTGTATGAAGTAATAAAATATATATGAGTGCTGAACGAGACACATCGTCATTTTGACGCTTTTAGTTCTGTGCAATTATCCTGATCCGTAAGTGTACCCTCAATTATGATTATTTACTAGCTAATGATATACTATGTATTACTGATGCCATACTAGCTAATGCTTGTGATATAATAGCTTCATTCGTTCACTAAAATATGTTTATATAGCTCAAATTAAAAATTTATGTTTTATATGCTGAATGCATTGAATTGAAGTCTACATTTACGTCAGTTTTTACATTAAGTGTGTAAGAGAAAAAAAATGTTTTAAGTGTGTAAGTGCAACTGTAGTTGCTTCTCATTTTTCCTTCTCTGTTAGGCGCTTTTGAAAAGTTAGAGCGAAGGTCATTGCAAACGTGGCACTCGGAAAGAAGTTGAAGAAGCAGCCCCTAGAGCACGAAAGAAAAGTCAATCTTCCAAACTCGTTCTGGTTTTTCCGATATTTTCTGTCGGAATTTTGAGGTTCCAGCAGATCCACCATCGATTTTGTTGAGAATTCTTGTTTGTTTGTTGGTGATGCGGAGAGACTCGACATGAGAATGAATTGCTGCAAATGAACAGGCTGATCTCGATGTGAGGAGTTGGTCGACGTTCAGTTGTGAAGAAGTCAATATTATATATAGTTTCCTGGTATATTTAATCAGATCCATTTTGTGGGATGAGGCAAAAATTAAAAGTCACACATTTGACCGTACGTCATCAGCTATAATACTAATTGGAATTAAAATAGTTTATGAAGTCGAATTGACATACCAATTGTTATTGACGGTAGAATTGACATACTAATTCGACTCAATATTTCTGCTTGGAATTTCATGTTACGCAAGAGTTGAAAGACAAACAGTTCCATTGAGGATGGAACAATTCATAGCAATGTACTACGCCACAATTTAACATGATTTCAATGGAAGCTTATTTGCCGCTATCGAGTTTTCAATAATGATAATTCTGGGCGGCAAATTTAAAAGTCACTAAATGTATTGGAGTTCACACGTACAGAATTAATGGCAGCAAAAACTGCAACGCAGGCCCTAATTAAAAATATAGTCCGCGCAAAGCGGCGGTATAATGAGAGAATGTATGGCAAGTAGCGCTTGTTAAGGCCGTCATTTCTAAGGCTTTTTGAGTTCAGTGATGACAGACGCCACCTCTTTAAGTTTACAAGTGTTTGCCATTACTCTCGCTGCTCTACTTTGGGGCGTCTCATCTCGTCCTTTGCTAAAAAATGTGACGACAATCAGTAGACTCGCTTTATACGATTTGCGACTTCGGAATTGAGCTACACCTCGATCAGTTCGACGAGCTTCGCACGTGAAGTAAAGAATTAAACTTCTATATAATTACTCAATGAACATTGCAGTTTTAGGACAGAGTTAAACTTCGATATTCTCTTTGAGCTTCTAAGTTTTAGGACAGTGTTACGCCTTGGTCTCTCGATGAGCATCGAAGTTTTAGAACAGATCGAGTTACACCTCAATTTCTCGATTCGCATCAGCGTTTTTAGTATTGAGTTACTTCACGATCTGGTGAGATTCGAGTTTTGAGACATATCAAGCTTTGAACAGTCATGATTAGCTTCACAGTTTACGCCGTAAAAACATAGGAAATTCATTTTCTTTAGGATGGATTCTACTTAATTTGGGTTTTGCTTTAATTAAGATTTATTATGCTTTACTCTGCCCTTTATCTCGTCTTAAGTCCAGCGGACTACAATTGTAGTTAAATTAGTCAATAAAAATCTGGTAAAGTAAAGATAGCTATTACAATAAATAAGCAGTGTCGCTGAGGTCATTTCCAGGAAAATGTTCTGAAACTGTATCTGGATGTAAAATTAAAATCATTGAAAAAATTAATTCAGTCTCTGGTCTCTGTGGAAAAGGTAAAGCATGCAAAAACATCGCGTCTTGTTCTACAGGCAATATCATCTTGTACAAGCTTAAGATGCCTGCTGCCTCCTTCTCATTAACAGAGACTGCGCTAAACTCCCATGAATATAATGCAACGGACGCTTCCTCGTAGAGTTAACATTAATTTATTCCAGAAAAATTAATGAAACTAAAATGTCAAATGTTCCAGGATGCTTGGCGTCCTCCAGCCGCTTTGTGTTTGTGTATGTCTCAGTGCGCAAGAGGTGGTCTGTATGAATATCAGTGCCTTTGTATGAGTGCCTTAAAAATTTACTTATAACATTACATGTGCGCTAAAATAGAGTGGTAATTACATTAGAGGTAGGTTTGAATTAATTCGTTTGAATTAATTCTAGTGAATAGGTCGTAAGTGTACCTCAACGGACGCTAGGTCGCATTTCCCTTAATTCTTGAAATATAATCAATCAAATTAGCGACAAGCTCGTATATGCCGGCGCACATGCACCGTTCGAATATATCATATTTAAGACATGATTGTGTCCAACCACTTATCCAATGTGGAACGCACCTATGTGAAGCACAACGTTACGTCATTTCGATATTCATTAAAACCCCAGTATAAGGTATATTTTATTGGGAACCTTGTATTGTATTGGTTCCGATAATAAAAATTTACTTATAACATTACATGTGCGCTAAAATAGAGTGGTAATTACATTTGAGGTAGGTCGTTTGAATTAATTCTAGTGAATAGGTCGTAAGTGTACCTCAACGGACGCTAGGTCGCATTTCCCTTAATTCTTGAAATATAATCAATCAAATTAGCGACAAGCTCGTATATGCCGGCGCACATGCACCGTTCGAATATATCATATTTAAGACATGATTGTGTCCAACCACTTATCCAATGTGGAACGCACCTATGTGAAGCACAACGTTACGTCATTTCGATATTCATTAAAACCCCAGTATAAGGTATATTTTATTGGGAACCTTGTATTGTATTGGTTCCGATAAAATTAATATTATCGTATAATGAATAGATACAAAATAACTACTAATCTTATACTTCGAATTGAAGAATTACAAATTAATTTTCCATGTTGTTGTTCGTATCAACCTCATTATCTTCGATGTGATTAAGTCGCCAGCTTTCCTTGTATGGCGCTTCTACAGGTCGTAGTTATAATCCTAATCTTCTCCTAATCTGGGTTCGAAACAAAGCTCTCGTCTGATATAAAATTTTTACTTTTTAAAACTAATGTGGCAGCCTTTTTGTTAGTCATCATTTATTATCTATAATATTCATTTTCAAAGGAAATGAGACCTATTATTGATAAAAGTTCTTTTTGACCAATGGTGTCTATTGATTTCGATTTAAATAGCTCACTGCTACATGCACAAGCTATATCTTGTTACCAATCATAACATACGGAGATACGAAAAAGTTATGTAAATAATAAATAGAATATTCTGCATTAATTCCGTAGACTTTCGCTGACATGTCTGACTCCCAGCTGACTCTTACATATATCAATAACTTTATAGACCTCGTCTGTATTGAATGAAATGCAACGCTACTCAGATCGCATAAATTTGCTTGCTGCAGTAAGCGGCTCACGTACTTGCAATTCTCGCGCACCGTTCTGCCTTGGCAGTGAGAGCGACACTAGCGAGTCCTGGACACCCAACTTCTTCTCACGGCAGCCAGCATCACACTGAGCAGATGATGCCCACCTTGGATGAGATGCCCGTACTGAGACGCCTGCCTTGCCATAAGAGATAAGCTCGAGATATTTCGTGCCCATCCTAAAAATCCTCAACCCACGCAAACGCTTTGCCTTCATGTCTTTTTTTGGCTATCTTATCTTTATATTTTAGGGCCTCTGCCTTCATGTCCTTCCATTTTAAGGGGTCAAAATAATATTCTTCTGCATCAGAGCTTCAGCAGCGCATATTCTCATGCATTATTACACAATATTACGTTGCTGATTCAGACAATGAAAAAATAAATTTATCTTTCTCCCCACAGTTCCCTATGTTAATAATGTTTCACATTATTGCTGATTCGAACGTTTAAATTTTCAATCCTCCTTCTATTAGAAACTATTTTTTAGCCCCCAAATGGAGAGTTTAAAGCAATAATCAAAGATTTAACTAAATTCAACTCTTCAATTAAGTCTTATGTGGCTCACGTTCTCTACTGCTTAACTCGAAATATCTGAGTGGCAACAGCAATACTTGTCCACGCTCAGTGATACGTGTACTGTACACAGTTAGCGATACGTGTACTGTGCACGCTCAGTGATACGTGTTCACGATTATCTTAGTTTAAAACAACTATGAAGATCAGAGCCTCCCTTGCTCTGCACCAATGACGTGCAGAACTGCTCTGCACCGGCGACAGGCCGACGCTGTGCCGGCGCCGCGCTGTACACGCTCGTCACTTGACATGCGCTCTTCATTCCAAGATTTGCTTGCTAACGACTAAAGTTAAATTACGCAAGTTGCCCCTGAACAGATTAAGGTCTCATTGCTGCTTGGCCCCAAGTCGGGCGGGCTGATTGAGGGTCAGTCGTTTTGCTCAGGCCAGACAATGCATGCCCGACATTTTCAAAACAATCCTGACTTCTACGATGAGAAAAGGCTTCTGTTAAGATATACTGGCTAAATGTTTATTTTCTGAGAACACTTTATAAGTCATCCTTGTCGTTTCTCCAAAATTTAAATATCAGTGAAATTTAAATATCCATTATACTTACATTATAATATCATTATATAATCTATTATGACATCAAAATTTAAATATCCATTGTAATATTATATCAAGCAACAAGCACTATGCAATAGCTGCAGCAGCCGACGCTGCCCAGGCAGTTATATTTCATAGCCCATGCATCCCGTTCCGCAGCAGCGCTCATCCACGTAATTCTTCCAGATTTCTGCATGAACGGAAAAGCAATCCGGAGATAAGCCAGATGATCCGGTGCAACTGGAACACGGAAAAGATTTCGCATTCGAATGAAGTTCTCCCATAGGTTTCGCTCGTGCATGGACTGCAGCGAAGCATAAATGCTTTCACGTGCTCAATTCTAAGAATATATACTGGAATATTTAAGAAATCGTAAAGGCAGCATTTCTTTAGTAATGTTTTGCATTGTTTTGCAACCTTTTTTTCAGGAGTAAATAGCAGGGAATCCTTTAAAATTTTGGTTCATTTTGGCCAAGACTACGAGAAATTTTTAATTTCTTATCGTTCACAAGCCTCTCATGATAATTCAGCTTTAATCAAACGGTGCAGATTTTGAAGCGCAATGCAAACTTCTTTTGTCAGATAATGAAAGGAAAATCAATGCCTGGGTTCGGTCGTTCATCCCGCGTTCTCTTTTATGCGCAGTTCCGAGTAGTGCCGTGTTTAGACAATCAAGCTTTGACCAATTAGTCAACTCCTTTAACTCCGTGCCATCAGCAGCTCCGTATTCATCGACTGAGCATTTCGACTATCTATCTGAAATGCCGATTCCCAGTTCCTTATCTATGTGAATATCGTGTAATTTTCATTTTCAAATTTTGCATCATCCACGTGCTTTCATATCTACTACGCAGGATGATGGACTTGCATCTATGTACGATTAGAAATTGTGTAATTAGGCCTTGAAAATTGGAAGTTTCTTTATTCGAAAGCAAGTGTGAAAATTACAATCAAATGATGAATTGAAAAATGAATCCTTCGGCCGATCACATCTGTAGTGATTAATCACTGGCCTCATGTGCCTTCGTTCGTTTAATTTAATTTATTCTGGATAAAAACTATAACTAATTTTGCGATTGTGTAAATTTCATAAACGATGACACAAGCTTTATGGTTATTCCAACCTAGCTGAATTTTAGTATGAAGGCAGCCTGTTGCCGCGTTATTTTTAGCCATTGTAATGTTCTTAAAACCTACAAATTATATCACTAGAAATTATATGACATGTGATGTTATGTTTGACATTCGATTGAAAGTTTCATTTTGTAATTTTGTAATCACTGCAACCCTGCTATATAGCGTAAGGCGAAGTAAGAAAATGGTCGTGTCATTATGTTTCGCCCTTTAAAACATGCAAGAACACGCCATTGTTCTCCCTAGTCTTACTCGTTCATTGCATTCATTTCAGCTACGCTGTCTTGCTCATTCATTACATTATTCATATTTACTCGAATGTCTTGTACAGGGCACCTGCTCCATAGCTTAATTACCAGACTCACCTTTAGCCTCTATTACTTCGTTCAAGCGTCAACATTGCGGCCATATTAGCTGACTTTTGTTAGTAATTTCATCAAACTTTCATTTAACACTTGTTTAACAAAAAAAGTCAGAAATATTCACCTATACATCGTTGGTTTGACGTTATCAAACTTAATTTCTGAAGTCTATTTTAGAGAAAGCTTGACGTGTATCTACTAAACAATATAGATGAGTTATCCCTGCTGCTGTACATGTCGATATCTTTACTTATCTATATTGTCGGAATGTAAGGGTATTAATGCGAGGGTAAGGCCCACAGGCCCCTCATTACCCTCATTTAGAGGGTCATTAAGCTGGCGTATCAATGACGACCTCGCATCCATTTGTTCGCTACGCTCCGTCACTTCTGTTGCTTCTAGACCTGATGCTATTCATTGTTGTTGTTGATATTGCTAATACTATTGTTTATGGTATTGTTGATATTATAGGTGCATTGTAGCGGTGATGGTAGGGGGATGGCGGAAGCTGTTATTTAGTTAAGGTTGTGGTGGTAAGAATTATGGCTAAGATTATGATATGAGTAGTTGTTGCATATGGCAGTGTGGTAGGAGAGGATTTTGTTGTTGGTATAGTAACGATTCCCTAGCACTAGAGGAAGGTTCTCACGTGCTGGGGAAAATAACACAATTGACCAGCCTTGTTGTTGACAACGACTTAGTTCCCACTTGAGGTAGCTTTGCTGCTTCTCTTTACTTTCATCATTATAAATATTTATATATTGGGCAGTATAGCGATGACATTAAATAGTTGGAACGGAATTTGACGTGCAATCGTTCCCGCGGTTGTTCAAGGTATCCAAATGTTGTTTGTATAAATTTTAATCAAGCCACAACCAAGAAAACTATTTTTAAATCTCTAGCACTCGGCTATCCTAAGTCTTTATAATTTGGCTCAAGCTACCGTGTTGGCTCACCTAAACGTGAGATATTTTCTATTCACAAAGAAGGTTTTGTTCTAAAAATTTTCACTTTCATTATCTATAACCAAATTGTTGTATAATTTTTACATTTTATGATCTGCCAACTAGCATTTCGTATTTGCCTTGCTGATTCAATTAATTTATATTGTCTATTGGAAACTTAAAAGTGTCCGAAGTCAAGAACGAAATCAAAAATATTTCCATGTGTTCGTAACATAAGCGCGCGTCGATGAGAATATTTTGTTTGAGAGGACGGCCTGATAAATTATTCCAAAAAGGGCGACATAATTCACCATTGTTTTGAAGCTGTGATATATTTATCGTGGCTGGCCGTGATAAATGGACGAACTGAGAACGACAGGACAGGCGCGCCCACCAAACTTCCTTGCAACATGCATATTTAAACGCACATGGCGATGCCTTCACCAACGTAGAGGCACCGATTGTTGGAATAGAGGTCAAGTTCGGGCCATCCTGTGCATGCATCACAGATACAACATAATTATTCGTTTAGTTTAATGTGCGGTGCGGATATGTTCTTATAATTTAACAGAAAATTTCTCCATGTGAGTATATAATATCAAAAAAAGTAACGCTAAAAAATACATATTTCTTCTTTGGTCCTCATCTGTAACTTCATGCCATGATTGTGATGTAAAAAGTTACATAACAATTTATTGGCGAGAATGACCTCAGGACGTCGCACCAAAGAGCTTCAATGTCAGTAAATAAAATGTTGGTAATGGGTCAAAATTAAAGTTTCTCGGCAGCCTTTCATGTTTTCCATGAACTTTGCCTCTGAAAATATCCTGGACTTGTCCATAGAGGCGATCAAAATTTTCGTTGAAGCCTGGTATTTCACTCACAGCCATAAGTTAAAATCCTATGATAAGTTAAGAAGATTTATTATTCTAGCATATTTAAAATAGATTTATATTTTTTTTGTACTATGCAAGCTATGGTCATATGTATTAAAATAATATTCTGAATAAATATTGCGTATTACTTGCGTAATAAAAAACAATTATCAATTTATATGTGTAAGGCAACGAAGGGTTTGGTTATGTATTTTGTGTCTGAAAAACACCTGTTTTAAGGTTCACGGTATATTGAGCTCCACGTTTTAAGCTTAACCTTGCGTTGAGGCAGGACAAGCCAGCTCTTTGCTCCTGCGCTTGAAGGCAATAATTTACGAGCTCGAGGCAATAATTTTCCGCCTCCAAAAATGCGGTAAACCTCACGTCGAGCGGCGCTAATCGTTCCGCCTTGGGGACAAACTCAAACTTTGCAGTCAAAAGTTGCACGCCGTCCGAGGTGAACGCGATAAGAAAGACCCGATGCACAAGCACGGCTCTCATAGTTTCTGCCTCATTTTACTTCCTAACTTCATCACAATTCGGCTGCAAGTTTGTACGTGGTATTTTCCTTGAGATTTAATCGTGGGTTTAGCAAAATTCAGCTAATTTTTTATAAAACTTGAACGATACA